ACAGCTGCGTCCTTAAGAAGATATCTACTAGCAGCAAGGCTTTCTTAAGCTCTTCATGTGTACTAGGAACTGGGCTAAGCACTGGAGATACAAAGGAAAAGGGGAAAAAACCAGTTCCTGCTTTTAAGAAGCATTCTAATGAGAGAGAATGGTACAGCAGAAAAAGCAGTGACTAAGGAGTAAGAAGATCTGGGTTCAAATCCTATCTCTGATATTTAATGCCCTGTTTAACCTCGGGCAAGTCACTTAACTGAAGCAAGTGTTTCAGCTTCCTCACCTGTAAAATGAAGGGGTTAGAGTGTGACTCCTCTGAGAGTTCTTCCAGCTCTCGATCTATGGTCCTATATACAGAAACAGGAACATATGGAACATATACAAAATAGATAGAAGGTAACCACCTGGACGTATACCTGCCAGGAAATGACAGGGAAGATTTGATGTTCTGATCATTTTTAATTACACTCAATAGAACAGGTTACCAAAAGCTTGCCACAAAACTGGCACCCAACAGAGCTTCAGTCACTGGCACGGCCAAGAGGGTCAGTCCGATTATACATGCCAACAGTGGGAGCCAGGGAGATGCAAAAAATCCATCTGCCTGAGACCCAAGTTCTCTTCTGTAAATTGAAAAAGAGAAAAGAGACAATAGGTCAAGGTAGAAAAAGAGAGACATGAGAGAAAAGCTGCCAAGTGGAAGAAAAAGAACTTCTCACTAGAGGGTCAGCCCTTCTGTGCCATCTGCCTTGAGAGAAGTTAATTCATTTGTCTAGAACAATAACAGGCAAGGGGGACAGCTGAAGTACCCAGTGTCACTTTAAAAGAAGAGACAAAGCATTACGTCTTTGAAAGTTGGAAAGGGATAAAAATAACATAGAGAAGATGACTTGATGTTACATTTCATTTAATAAGTAGAAAGAATTGGGATACAGAATAACAGTGTTGTTACTCAGTCGTTTCTCCGTCACATCTGACTCTTCATGACCCTATTTGGGGTTTTCTTGGCAGAGATACTAGAGTGGTTTGTCATTTCCTTCTCCAGCTCATTTTACAGATGAGGAAACTGAGGCAAACAGGGTGACGTGACTTGCCCAGGGTCACACAGTTAGTGAGTGTCTGAGGCCAGATTTAAAATCAGGAAGATGAGTCTTTCTGACTCTAGTCCTGGTACCATCTAGCAGTGTAAGAATAACACTAGGGGCGGGGAAATGTTAGGAAAAATATTGAGAAAACTACAGAAGTCTAAGAAGAGAAAGAAAAGTTAACAGTAGAACAATCACAATAGGTTTATAAAGTTTATAATAATGAGGTTTATGAAATGCTTTCCTTATAGCAATCCTATGAGTTAGGTAATACAAAATAGTCTTGGCTTCATTTTTACAGATAAGGAAACTGAGGCTGACAGACACTATGCCAACTGCCAGTGATCACCCGGCTAATAAGTCATGGAACCAGTATATGGACCCTTGTCTGCCAATGCTAATTCTAGAATTCCGGCACTGAATGAAACAAGAGGATGCTTGAGTGTTCATTGGTGACGTTAAAAAAAATACCACCATTACTCTAGACTTTAAAGGTAAGATGAAAAGCACCTTCAATACCTGAAAAACACCTACCCAATATAGATTACTGGATTTTGGGGAATGTATCTAGGTGGCACAGTGGATGGAGTGCCAGGCCTGGAGTCAGGAAGACTCAACTGAGTTTGAATCTGGGCTTCAAACACTTACCAGTTGTGTGACCCTGGGAAAGTCACTTAACTCTGCTTGCCTCAGTTTCCTCATATGTAAAACAAGCTGGAGAAGGAAATGGCAAACTACTCCATCATCTCTGCCAAGAAAACCCCAAATGGGGTAACAAAGAGTTGGATACAACTGAAATGACTGAATAAATAATAATAATGATGATGAATTTAAAATCAGAAGACCTAGTTCTAACATTTACTGACTTCATGATCCTGGGCAAATCATTTGACCTCTGTGGGCCTCAGTTCCTCATTTGTGTAACCTCACTTCCACCTAAACCTGGGAACGCTTTACTAGGGGAAAACCCTGTGTGTGATGCTACACTTTGTGTATATGGAGGAAGGCATGACTCCTGATTGATTGAAAGGAGTCTCTGAGCTGGGGTATGTAAAGTAAGAGACACACTTTGGAGGAGGAGGTTGAGAGAAGCAGTCAAGAAAGCAAGCGTAGACTTCTGAATGGTGGATGGGATCTTCCTTGAGCCATAGACTTCACAGTGGGAAATCTGGTCCCCACTATGTCCTTTGATTCTCAGTGCCTGGAACCCCAGAGACCACTACAGATGAATTCCCCTCAGTGAGATCATGCCATCCTCCTTGCTTCTGGGGGCAGCTTATCTTGCACCCAGAAGAAGAGAACATTTATTCCTGTGTATCCTTTGGACTGTTCTAATCCTGCAACTTCCCTAATTTCTTCTTACTGCTTGCTTCGATGAAGTTTGCCAACGAATAGTAATGGTCTTTTGTGTAAACCGAGTTTGGTGAAAGGAGGCTAAGCTAAAGTAACACCAAGCAACAGTAAGCTGAGTGTTACTGTCTTGCCCTGAGGGCAATCAGGGAAAATGTCTTTTATTCAGAACCCTTTGTAGGACAATCATCCAGTCTCACTGGTCTCGGATCCAGCTTGCATCTCCCTCACTAAGTTGCTGGTGAACTTGGCATGCAGAAATTACAGTTTCCCTTGGAGCCAGGATGGGCCAGAGCCTGAAGGTATCTAGCCATACTACATGTGGTCCATCTGTATCTTATATGGTATGGCCCAACCACATATACTCTATATCGATAAACAGAGGGAAATATATAAGGTGGAATTGGAGGTCCCTTCCAGGTCTCCATCGATGATCCCATGAGTGGCACTCCTTTTCTTGAACTTTTTTCTCTTACTGCCAACTGTTTTCACTTCAGTTTTCCTTGTGAAAGACTACTGGAGAAAAGAGAGCCCCATTATACCCACTGTACTTATTTCTAGTGATCAAGCTTGCCATTATAACTTTCGCAGGGCAAAGAGAAAATGGTTAGCGTTTTGGTAAATGTAGAAAAAACCATGTTGCCTCATAGAAAGGGACATGTTGACATGAGAAAGAGAAAATGCAGAAACTTTAAAAGAGCATGACAAAAATGGATAAATTATTATTTTTAAGAAAATAAAATTATTCCTTATCAGTATACAATGAAGGGCTTTGTGCTGCTGGGCTCTACAACCTCTTGGTAGCCTTGGTCACAGCATGCAGAATTTCTGACAACAGAAAATGAAACTGAAAAATTAGTCTCTTGTGTGCCAAATAACACTTTCATAGCAATCAGAAATTCATGTGAGCTCCGCATAGACCTTTGCTAAGCAGACGACCAGCAAAGGCTAATTATGCAAGCTAGTTGAAAATCAGGACTGTAATGGAAAGGCAGCCCCCCAAAGAATAGCTGGGGAAAGGTTTTCTCATCAACCATATCACAATAGAAAAAAAAAACTAGCAAGGGAAAGTGAAGAGAGAACATGAGAAACTGTGCACATACACTCTAATCATCTCATTGCAGTTAAGCATTTTTGTTCAAGATGGGATTTTAAAAGTTTGTAAAATCTCTGCCTTTAATATGTTTTTTTTCCCTAGTGTTAGCTTTTCTTCCTCACATATTCAGGTTTGGCTCAAAGCCATTTGAGACATACAAAAGTTAATTGTTCTGATCCTGGGGACACAGGTCATCTTTGGGATGTGATATAATGGAAATGTGAATGAGAGTGGGGGATGATAACAATATGCACTAATATTTATATTCACATCTATATACATCATTCAACACATATGTGTATATATACATGCATACATACATATTATATTTATGTACAATCTCATTTGCTAATATGAGATCAACCTTATGTTACTGTTGTCATTTCAATTGTGTCTGAGTCTTTGTGACCCCATTTGGGGTTTTCTTGGCAAAGATAGAGGAGTGGTTTGCCATTTCCTTCTCCAGCTCAATTTACAGATGAGGAAACTGAGGCAAACAGGGTGAAGTGACTTGCCCAGGGTCACACAGCTAGCAAGTATCTGAGGCCAGACTGGAACTCAAGTTTTCCTGACTCAAAGCCCAGCACTCTATCCACTGTATCACCTAGTGGCTCTCAACCCTATGAGATAAGTGCTAATATCCCCATTTTATAGATGAGGAAACTGAAGTTAAAGAGAGGTCAAGTTGTTTTGTCCAGTGTCACAGAGTTAAGTAGCATCTGATTCAGGATAAGAAATCTTACTTTCCTGACTCCAAGTCTAGTGCTCCAGCCACAACGCCATCTAACTGCGTCTTTATGTCCCAGTGTCCAGTCATATTCCAGAGAAATATTTTAAAATGTATTTAATTTTTTTTAATGTTCTAATAAGGATTTTTAAAAGATTTTAAAATTTTGATGTGGATTCCTGGCAAAATTCTAGATTAGAGGGGCAGCTAGGTGGTACAGCAGATAAAGCACCAGCCCTGGAATCAAGAGTACATGAGTGCAAATCTGGCCTCAGACACTTGACACCTACTAGCTGTGTGACCCTGGGCAAGTCACTTAACCCCACTGCTTAACCATAAAGAAAAAAAAGAAAAAAATCAGATGATTTTAAAAGCTAATTTGTGAGCACTTAGAAAGTCAAGATATGAAATAAGAAATAAATCATTTACATTTAAAAGTACACTCATTCATTGTTGGTGGAGTTGTGAATTATTCTAGAAAAGTTTGGTATAATACAGAATATCACTAAGTTGTACCTACCTTTGATCCACAGTTGTACATACCTTTGATTCACTTATACCATTACGATGCATACAACCCAAGGGAGGTTCAAAATAAAGGGAAGGAGGTAGACTTCAATACATATATGAACCATACTGCATATTTCATGTAGACATATGTACATTCATATGCTTGTACTTGTCTGCACATTATACGCCTGTATATATTTCAATACATAATAATAAAAGATGGAAAGTGGAAGCTTACCTTTTCTTTTTCATAAATGAAGACCAAAGGGTGTCTTGTAGGTTTTTGCATTCTGGTGGCAGGTGGAGTGGCTTTTTTATACCCAGATTTGTGCTGTTTCATAAAAGAAATAAGTGGGAAGGAAAAAGGGATGGAAAACAACAGCATTAAAAATTGGAAAGCTTTTTTCTTAATGCTATATTCTTTGTTAATGAAATAGGATTTAATTTTTGAAAGCATGACCAAATGAAACCTTTTTTCACTTCCATGATTGGGTTCTCCATTAAAAAAAAGGACAGTGATATAGCCACCTGTGGCATTCTGACTTCTAGATAAATTCAGTTCACATTATGAACTAAATTATACAGACATGTAAATTAGAAAAGCAATTTATAAAAGAAAGAGGCTTTGAAATATTGGATTTGCTAAAATATACTTACATATTTTGATAAGTAGCAAATATTTTTTTATTAGCAAGTAAAAAAAAGTAATTTAATACATTATATATTATACTGTTCCTTTGTGCATGGCCAATGAGCTGGGCCCAGAAGAAAAGGAGGAGGAGGGCAAAACAGATCGCCTTTGGGAAATTGTACAGTGCTTTTTAATGATCCCAAACTTCTTCCTGAAAGAAAAGTCTTTTAACCACCAAATTCTTCCTATGATTCAGGACAGCTTTGTGTCATGAATTCCAGTGTCTCTAAAGAGTTAGCACCAAGGATCATCTAAAGGGCCTTGGTGTCGCACATGATAGGTTTCATCACCAAAGGGTTGACCACTAGGTGATGGATTTTTTTTTCAGCCACAACAACTCACAAAAATGATCCATTAGAGTTGTTATCAGCATGGGTGAAGAATTCATGAGCCCTTCTTAAGGTATTTTTGTTCTTTGCTTTGAAAGATGATGCTATGGACTATAAGCTAGGTATACTTATGCAGGTGAGGCTGACGAGGCTGACAGTATTTTCTATACCTCTTTTTTTTAAACTAGATTTATTATTTCATTGATACGGGGAACTCCCTATGAGGAAATTCCCTTTATCAATGAAGATGGATTTTTGCTCTGCAACTTCCAGACGTCTGGGGCACTAAGACCTGCTTAGTGTCACACCGTCAATGTGTATCAGAGAAAGGATCTAAATCCAGGTCTCCCTGACTGTGAAGCTGGCCCTCTAACCACTATATCATGCTATCCTCTCTAAATTTAGCATAAATAAATTCTGTCCTTTGCCTAATTATACTTTGAAGGGTTTGTTTCTTATTTGTAATGTGGTCTCCTAAATTCTGTGGTTGGTAATTGTAGCTCACATTTATATACACACACTCATTTATAAATAAATGTATATGATTCATGTTTATATAGTGCTTCAGAGCTTTCCAAGTACTTTTCTTACATCCTTCCTGGGAGGTAAATAATAGACAATATTGTGAGTCATATTTGATCGACGAAGAAACTGAAGTCCACAGGAATAACACAGCTTGCTCAGGGTAATGAAGAGAAATCGAACGCCCTCTGTTCCATGTTGCATTGCCCCTTCTACACAAAATGAACAAATACCTTCATTCCTATCATTTTATTTCGATAACACAACAATGATTTCCAAGATATGAACACCAAAAAAAATATTAAAAAATAAACCAGAAATGGGAGCCAACACTCTATCTCTGATTTGCAATTGAATGTTTCATGATCCTGGTAACGAACAGCTAAGTGGCACCATGGTTAGAGTGCTGGTCCTGGAGTCAGGAAGACTCATCTTCCTGAGTTCAAATCTGGCCTCAGATACTTTCTAGCTGTGTGATCCTGGGCAAGTCACTTCACCCTGTTTGCCTCAGTTTCCTCATCTGTAAAATAAGCTGGAGAAGGAAATGGCAAACCACTCCAGTATCTGTGCTAAGAAAACCCCAAATAGGGTCATGAAGAGTCAGACATGACTGAAAACAACTGATGATTCCCAGTAATGTAATGCATTTCATCTTGCCTCCTAAGATCCCCTCAACCCTTCTCAGAGAGAAGGGCCTGGTGTTTCCCTGGTGAATAACTCTATCATAGGGCTATCCTCCAAGTCAGGCAAAAAATTAGCAGTCACATCCATTTCTTCGAATTTGAGCCTACTCCATCCCACACCAGTATGGAAGCATATTTAAATTAAATTTAAATTTAAATTAAAAAAAATTTTTTTAGGCAATTGGGGTTAAATGATTTGCCCAGGGTCACACAGCTAGTAAGTGTCAAGTGTTTGGTCTGAGGCCAGATTTGAACTCAGGTCCTTCTGACTTCAGGTTCAGTGCTCTATCCACTGCATTACCTAACTGCCCCTAAAAATGTTTTAATAAAAATAATATACATAGATTTGAAAAATAGACTGCATTGTCAATATTTTTAATGTATAAAAGCATCACGGTCATAATATTAACATGATTTTTGTTGTTCAGTCGCGTCTAACTCTTTATGACCCCATATGGGATACTCTTGTCAAGGACGCTGGAATGGTTTGCCATTTCCTTCTCCAGTCCACCTCACAGATGAGGAAACTGAGGCAAACAGGGCTAAATGACTTGCCCAGGGTCACGCAGCTAGTAAGTGTCTGAGGCCTGACCTGAACCCAGGAAGATGAGTCCTCCTGACTCCAGCTCTAGTACTCTATCCACTGCACTATATACCTGCACCCATTAATATGATGGGTGGACTTATATTTTGTCAATTAAAAATGTTAAGAAATAATATTTTCTCCTTAAAACACATTCCTTACTTTTCCCTTTAAGGAAATTCATAAGAGGTAAGGTAGAAGAATAAACATCTCTTTGTCCTTCAAGAGTATTGCCTTCTCTGTCCCCTGCTGTGACGGGCTGCAATGATCTCCCCCTTCTCCACTGAGGAAGGCCTATGAGGGTGATCAAAAGAGAAAAATCCTTTAAATTTCTGAGGGGCTGAGTCGAGGAAGGAATTGAGTAGTTTTAGTTAGAGACTGACTATTGTTCTACAATGTTAACCCCAAACTGTATTTTTAAACATATTTTGATCTTTTTCTTTTTCAAGATTCATTTAAATGTTACCTCAAATTATTTCATGCCAGACAGATGTCCAATGACATGGAGGGGAGTATGCCAATTGAATATTTTTCCCCCTAAGGTGGAAATGCTCAGATTTACATTACTGTTAAATCAAACAGAATTGTTTCTGGCAGACTTGTGCCTAAAACATTGGGAACGGTATTAATATTTTTTCTTTGACACCAGAGGAAACCAGTATAGGGCATTCTGTTCTTCTCACAAGGCCAACACATAGCCCAATTTCTCTTGAAGGGCCAACCACAGAGTGAAACTGGTCACTCTCCTCCATTTTCAAGGCTAACCAAGACAAAAACCAATAAAAGTGGGCTCAGGTTGGAAGGAATTTCTCCATCAGAATTCCCTAGGTGCCCTGTGTTCATGAATAAAACTTGTGACCTGCACTTGTAGGCTGTGGCTTTTCCCCCCAATCTTTTTTCTCTTCTTCTTCCCTATGCCCCCTTCACTGATCTAACTGCCTATCATACAACCACCCACACCCACACACCACTGAGTCCTGTAATTACTTTATCATAAAGTTTTTCGGGATTTGATCTTTCTGACATAACATGTATTTCAAACAGCACCAAAAAAACCGATGTTTTAGTAACCAACCAGCAACAAAACTGAATTCTTTTTCCTATTACTTGTGAAACTTATATACAGACACCAACAGTATCTAGCATCATCTAACCCTGCTCTAAAGTCAGAGAACAACCTGGGAAATTATTAATAATCTATGGAAACCTATCTGACCAAAGTCCCCTAAAAAGGAAAGTAGGTTTTTCACTGGCTGCTGATAGGAAAGGTTTCCTCCACCTGTATCTCACTCTTCAAAGTTCTTCCCTTCTCTCAGACCCAAGGTTTCTGAGAGAAAGGTAGGAATACTCCTCCAAACTGGTAAAGCTTAGCGGTGGCAGGGGCCAGCTCCTTCCTCTCACCCAGAACTGTGAGTTGTGGTAGTAATGAATAGCAGTAGGAAAGGCGATCTCTTTTACTTTTTATTCCTTTTGAATGCCCAGTTTCCCTGTCCTAACTTTCTTCTCCCATTCCTTTCCCCCACATTCCAACGGATCCCTGTAGGCCACCTCCCTTGATATGACAACAGAATTATACAATTTAAAACTATGTGAAGACCTAATAATAAAAAAACTCCAAACCCAAGACATTTAAAACCATTAAATCCACAGTACACTGGATGGTGATTTCTTTCCATTCAAAGTCCTACTTGGCGCCTCACTGTGGTTTGGAGTAACTCTACCATGTTGGAAAGGCTTTGGACTGTAGTGTCCTCAAGAGGTTCTGTTTTCTGAGGACCAGCCTAAGTACAGAGTAGAATCACAGGTAGGATGGCCACCTGCCTTTGGCCATGAAAACCAATAAAACCAAGTAGTGTATAGTTAAGAAGTCCTATTGATCCTTGCAACAAACAAACAAAAAGACCTCAAAAGAGGTAACGCAAGCATCCTCATTCCCATTTTATTGGTGAGGAATTGTGGGCTCACCCAACTAGCAAGAGCTAGACCTCAGACTCTATCATTTTCTCTATGCCCTGTTGGAAGAAGGCTAAGTGAATATGCAAACATCTAGAGATAGATTACTGGCTGCTATTAACTTCCCATAGTACAAGACTTTAATCTACTTTAATCTCCTTATTTATGGCATTTGTTAAGTAAATGTGTTAGCAATATCAGAGAAAGCAAGGAAGTTCACCTGGCTTTCAGGCCTATGGGGGTATAATTAACGGGCTTATTTACAGGAAGGCAGAGCAGTGAGGAATTACTCCTGTTTCTGAAACTAGTCCCATCATTCTGCAAATGCAGGGCGAAAAACCAAGCAGAAGCAAGAATGGGAAAGGCTTTCTGATGCAGCAAGATCCCTCAGGCTCCTTTCCCTCTGTCTGTTTCTGCTCCTGGCACTGCCCAGCCAGGGGAAGTGTCTAGGACATTCTCTCCAATGTGTACCCATGACAAGTCACATCTGTTTATGACCCTAAAAGCAAGCAATTTGAGGGCTCAGACTACTGAATGTTGTTGTTGAATCATTTCAGTCACATCTGACTC